CTTAACTGTAAGGTAAAATGCTGTATACTGTCATAAAATACAACGATAAGTTCACTCGAAATAAATAACTGTAAATTATTTGCACGATGAACAAATATCAATTGATAAGCAAATCACAAGATTATTTGTTCATATTTTGCCTACAACCAAAAAGAAATCCAAATAATCCAGATAAACATGCCTTTGAAAACGAGTAATCATCTGCAGTTCGATACAACTGTCATGTTGATACATTTAGGCCCAGAAGTATCCACTTTTGGTTTTCAATTTCGTCCTCATTTCTGCCTCAATGAAGTCTTTGAATATAGTAACATACTAAAACATTATTCTTGTAACTTTATCGAGGATATTAGTTTTAAAAAACTGCCTCGTTATTTTCCTGAGTTCATCTAGTAGTTGCTCTTTTCTAGTAATCTAGTAGTGAAAGCCGCTGACCGGCGAAATAGATTCAGCTGTCACGCGTGGACCACAGGAAGCCCATTCTTTGTTTATTTGTTTTTATCTCGAAGCCAGAACTGCCCAATACTATATTTATGTTTTGGATAGATCTACCAACCARAGACATCATTGTCATTAACTTAAAATTTTCCTGACCTGGCCAAGATAAGTTGATACTCTGTCAAGTTTTCTCGTGAAAGATGGTACTTTGGATGGTACTTTAGAATATGACCTTGAATATCATCTGTACATTCCAGTAGTTTTACAAGATTTACCTTCCCTCTAGACTCTCCAAAATTTTTATCCGCATGAAACAAACACTCAACATATTCAACATAAAAACAAATAAACAAAGAATGGGCTTCCTGTTATGGAATTACGAATTTTTAAACATCGCCCAAATTTCATGAATGAGAAGTAGTCAAAATCACTAATTTGGCCCCCAAGGGGACCCCCCCTGAAACTTTGCAAAAAAGCAAGCGCCGAGACACAAAACAAAATGTGTTTTGGAAATAACCTTGGAAGGGCACACTCACACACAAAGTCTGAAAGAAATCTATTTTTTCATCAAAAATGGTTATGAGGTTCTTACAGAGACAGCCTCTTAAATCAAATCTTCAGAATGACAATATTTTAATATTAATAACTGAGCTCCTTAAGGGAATATCGAGCCCTGAATACTGCACTGAACTGAATATTTTATATGTTTCTAAAATGTTGCTATATGTGTCGATCACATTAGTAGACACATGTACTAATCGAGTACGTATTTCAAATATAGGCATTATTAGCCTTCAGTCATAAAAGACGACCCTTCCTTCCTCTCAGCAGCGATCCATCTGCCCAATCAACTTAATTTTCTTGTCTGTCAATTCGTTTCACAGTTTCAATGAAAACGTAACTAACAATTCAAAGTTTTTCATAAATATAAAGAAAAATAAATAAAGAATACTGAAGCGTTGATCATTAGTTTTAGTTTCATTTTCGCTTTCGCTTTCATTCTCAGTTCCGCTGAGCGATTGTTTCAATATCGTTATCAAATTTATTTACTGCAGTATAAAAGATCTCAAAGGGGTTCTCAACACTAGATTAAAGCAATAAGACAAATATATTCTGATAGAATAAATCAATTCAAGATTTTTTCGATGTTCAAATGAATCATTTCCGTTGATCAGATCGATGCTTTTCACAGCTACCGCGACATCGTACATTAAATATGAGAAAAAGCTATTCATAATTTGTGATGAAAGGCGAGTTATTTTCTCAAACGATCATAAGCATAATCATAAACATAAAAATCTCGATACAAAACTAGTTACCAGATGCTATACATATATTTAACTGATCATTATTACGTGCACAAACCCAATCTGATCTGCATGTATGTAGTACCTCACTCAGTCTTGACTCAGTCTTCAGTTACCGACTTTACAACAAACTTGTTGTGAAGGTCTTCGGTATTTCTTAAAAGACTCTAAACAATTGAGACGTGATTTAAGCAGTTAAAGCTAGGAACAAATAATAAAACGACAAGATTTTTTATCCTTCTTAAGTTTTGCATGGGCAACCGAATTCAAATGAGGCATGGAAATGAGGCAGGGGAATCCCCGATGACCGCATTCGTTACCAGTCTCGTAGCATGTCACGAAGAGGGGTATTGTGTTACGAAATTCTGCAAAACTATTATTTTCATCTTTTTTTCTTACTTATTAAGACGCTATTATCACAGTTTTTGGGTAATTTAAAAAAGCTATCTGAAAAGATAAAAGCGTTGTTTTATGCATATGAGGGAGAATGCTGTAGTTTTGAGTTCCATATTACCGCTGTGTTCCTTGATTATAGACTCATTTGCTCAGGTTTAGCCTCAAATTTGTGCAGGATATTTATGTGTTCTAAAGAAGTTCCGTGGAATTTCAAGGTATTTGTATTGTTGAAGTTGTACATTCTTTACTTTACCGTTGGTATTTGTGAATATTTAGTAAATGAGTCTGTAATCAAGAAAAAAAGCGGTATTTTGGAACTCGAAACTTGAGTGTTTTAATAAAAGCGAAAGCGTTATTCAACCCTACCACTTCAATATAATACATTTTCTATTTATCAAAATAACCGTCAAATATAAAAATTGATATAAATTCCTCTTACCATCCCCTCAGCTGGGAATCACACCCAGTCCTCATAACTACAACCGCATTGTCACGGACTCAAGTAGTTATGCGTGCATTCTTACACCACTGAGTTTTTTGGGCTGGAATTTCAAAGCCCATAAAAAGCCAGGAAGAATAATCGATGCGAACACGACAGGGCAGAAAAACGGGTTCAACTTTCGAAGTTTATGCGTTAATAAGCTTTATATTTCATAAGCAGACTCTTTTGGGGCTGATTAACAAAATACCAAAATTTGGGGAAATTTAAGGAATGCGTATTTGAGATATAACGCCCTGAACGTTGGGAGAGATGATATTTTGATCAGCACAAAAACTAACCTTTTCGCTAATACCTTGAAGTAGAATTGCTCGAGGTTAGTAGAATTTTGTGAAAAGTTTAAAGCACAAGAGACACGAATGAAACACTAAACGTTTTTTAGCATGAATGAGAGATAAAGAAAAAAATTTGATTGCGAAAGTAGCAGCCTTGTTGTTTTTCTGCTCTGTCTTCGCCGAACACTAAATTTTAGACGAAAGAGATAATAAGCACCGGTAATAAATTTTCATGATAAATCGATATTGTAAACGTTTTGGCTTGATCACTATATTTGGAAAAGGCATTAAACTATACTCGAGGCTATTTGTTTCCAATATATAATATAAAAAATGTAATGGGGTTAGCCTCGGAATCACAAAAAACGTTGATGAAACAACCTCGTTTCCAGGGCCTTAGAAAAATTAGTGTGTGTTCAATATTTTATTCAAAAAACTATCAAAACTTGATGACGTGAAACTGAAACAGTACATAAAAAATGATGGAAACGTGCAGACTTCTTTGATTTCGCGAAGCTCTTGGTATAACTAAATAAGGATATATAACACACTAGCTTCTACTCAAAAGGTGAACGGTTATTCGTAATAACTGCCATACAAGTACCAGTAAAACAGGTCATTAAAAGACAGCCATAATGGACCCTTTACTATGGTTTCAGCCGTTGAATTTAGTTCAAGACAATGAATTTTACCTTAATTTAGTTTCCTTCACTTAAAACTAATTGGAAACAACAAAAAAGAAAAAGCCAATTGACGACACGCTTACTGGTTGTCATGACAGTTACTTCCCCGCTACGCCACGTGGAGGCTACCGTTCATCGTAGCGGGTTTTCCCACTCTGCATAAACCAACAGAGGGGTGTCCAATTGGGGTGTTGTGAAGCCGACAAATCACAAGCCATACTAGAATTTATAGGCAAGGTCCTGTAGACCGCCTTGAGAACCAAACGCTAAGTTTTCAGGGGATCATCACCATTAGCTGAATACAAGCGGTACCAACTAACAGCGGCAAGGTAGGGGTTACTCCACAACTAACCGACACACACACTCGAAGGCGCGCGCGCAAACGCTGTCTTTATTTATTTCATTTTTATTCAATAAAATTATGATATTTCTAAAAACATAACCCACAATAAATCCAAACCTAAGAAAGGGAAGCCACCAAACCTTAGGGAACTAGCAACTGCCTGATTACAATCATTCTAAGCTGTCTAACCTCTCTAAACCACTAAATAAACATGCTACCGAAAATCAGCCGAAACAAATCGATACCAAAATGGAAAAAGTAAAACAAAACCTATTATATTTTGGAGATATCCGAAAGATCTCCCGACAAAAAGCAAACCTACATTTATAATCCTAGGTTAGACTGATTGGGGATATCCGAAAGATCCCCAGATAAAATGAAATCTAAAAACAACTGGCATCTTATCAAACTTACTAATATCACTGGAGATATCCGAAATCGGTCTCTGTAGTTAATACGTCGAATCGTATCTTAAAAAGCATAAATATCACGAAAACTTCTCAAAGTAACACGAGAAAAGATCATAGTAAAAAACTGAATCGCATCCAATAAAACCAATCAATGCCAATCAAAATAAAGCCGCCAAGTTAACAAAGTCACTTCGTAAAGAAAGTTAATTGTCGCATCGAATAAAGCCAAATGGTAATCCAAATTGAAGCCAATTAAATGAAGGCCGAAACAGCATCAGTTTAACAACAAATCAGAACAAACTCACCAAATGACTTCACTTGAACCCTTTGCAGACTCGATGACCAGACAGGAACCATAAAGGTGAATAAACGTTGTGAGAAATGTCAGTTCTGGTACACATGTACAGTTCATTGTCTCTAATACTGGAACCATTAGGTGGGTATATTAATATTCCATGTCAGAGGGATTGACTCCAGCTTGTTCGATTACACAAGGCGTCCTGAAATACCAAGATTTGCGGAATAAATGGAAGTAACATTTGGGCTTTCATTAGGAGCATCAGGGCCTTGGTTGGTATAGTTAGTACTAGGCTCCTTCCCCTTTCAACTCAAGGGAAAACTCCCATGTTCTCCACCAGGGGCGGATCCAGGGGTGGTAATATAGGCGACTAGTCACCCCCCTTTTGCTCAAATTTTTCGGTATATCGTAAGCAACACTCACTCCTCTTTTCCTCGAATTCCTGGTAAAACCTTTGTAATAGTCACCTCCCTTCTAAACTTCCTGGATCCACCCCTGTCCACCAAGTGCTTTGGCAACCCTTACATAGGTTCTTTGTGATGGACGGACCATTAGATAATAAAATTTGCGTAAATCACCCAAAAAATATCGAGCAAGC